ATTTAAGAGAAGTAGAATGTAATAAGGTGGATATGGAATACATGGAGAATCGATAACAACAGCATAAACATACTCTTATTTTGCTTGAAGTTACAATTATTTATTTCAAATAAATACAAGGCAGAATGCAGAGGTCTAAATTGGTAAATGAATAAGTCAATAAAAATATAAAGAGAAAGAAAGCAAGTTAATAAACAGCTGGATTAGTGCTTTCCAAAAGCAGAGTTAGAGATAGCTGCCTTGAAGTACAGTGTGGTGCCCCCTCTCAAGCAAATGGACTTTAGAAGCTGTAATGAAAATGGGACCCAAGAGACTTGTTATACCAAATACCAAATATATTACCACATAGAAGGCATGGCACCAATAGCTTTTAAAACTGTTGCAGTCGTGCCAGTGCCTACAAAATCTGACTTGGAATAATCTGCTTAAATATTTGGCCAATATCTAACTTGTTTTTCCTTGTGAACATATCATGGCATGCTGTAATGGAAAAAACGACTCATACATTGATGTTTTTAAGGACTGATTGCTCTCGCTGTACTTGCAAGAGCCTCTAAAATTACACTTTAGTAACTATACGTTCAGCATTTGGCTGCTAGAATCCTGGCAATTGATCACATTACTCCTTTTTTGATTCTTAAAATCCCTCTGCTTACTATCAAGTATCTACATAGCATGATGCCCTAGTATCTAGCTGTTACAGCATATTATCTTGGTCCTGTCCTCCACATAACATTCATTCAGCTGATTCTAGTTTACTATGTAAAAGTTATTTGCAATGAACCTAGCATCTTAATTTAACTCAATGTATCTGTAGACTAAGAGTTTGTCAACCCAAAATAGCAGATTATATTAAAGTATACTAAAACAATGGAATATGTTAGTCTAATCCTTGATTTTTAGGATGAGGAGTTTAAGCATTACACTTAGTTGAACAAATGAGAGAAATCCCAAAATATACACACAATTCTTATACAGCTATTAATAACTAATAATTCATGTACTGCGGCAAAATTGTAGATATGAAATTAAATTATTATTGTTACTCTGATATGTTTTCATTGTCATCTTTTTCTAAATAGGCTACTACAACAATATCCATTGATACCTTGCAGCCTGGTATTGATGCTCACATACAGTACTGTAGCTTCTCTGCCTAACCTTTTTAAAAGCATCTGATGCTTCTGTCACAAATAACACTGTAACTAAGAAACGGCACTGCTTGTGACATAAACAGGAAAAATATTATCTGCATCACTGTTCGTATACTCACTTTAGGGCTAATCAGAGTCAATAAATCATGTACAAAGTTCTGAGCATGTCACTGTGACAAAAAAAAAAACCTAGTACTGTATGCTCCAGGACGATTGTAATATTATGTACTATAAACATAGTATACTTTATATTAATATATGATTCTGTGGGGAGAAAATGCATCATAATAAATACATTTAGGCCTATGCAGATGCCAGAAGAAAATTCACGCAAACACCCCTGAAACAGTTATAATGTTTTGCAGAGTCTTAGGAAGAAGGTCTGTCACCATACTTAGGATGGTCATATGTGTATTTTAATAGTAAATAGAACCAAGAGGGAGAGAGATAGTGCAGAGACACAGAGGAACTGGGAGCATTCAGCTGGCAGGAATTAGCACATCTGTACCCTGACAGACCCTTCATCATTTTGAAAAAAAATGCATACAGAGAAAAAGTAAAATTTAATAAGAACATTTTTCTTTGGAAAGGAAGGAAGACTTAAATGTGTCTTCTAGGTGAGGTTTAGTGAAAGCCTTTTCAAACAAAAGTATAAAGTACTCAAACAGCAAAAATGTGTTAAAAAAATTAACAGCATTGGTAAATACAGTGATTTTAGAAACTGAGACGTACTTAATTCTAAAAAAATGAAGAGATTACATGGGTGTAAGTGTAACAGAATGTTTGGCTTCTAAATTAATTGTGTATGCTTTTTTGTTCCAGATGAGATCTCCTCTAACTGACTAACTTGTTAGTTTTTTTTTCTATTCTATGCAGTGAATACTCTTAATGGCCTAATTTCCTTACTTCCCCCCCCCAAAAAAATCAAAATGTAATCCAATTCTTCATATAGTCTGTACAGGGACATTTATCATAAATAAAAGAAATGACATATAATGTTGTGATAGGTTTTCAGCCCCTTCCAATGATTTACCATTTGCCTTTGCAACCCTCCTAAATTTTCTAAAGTAAATTGCACTATTCAAGCGTGCAGAGTTGGAAGAGATTTAACCAAAATGTATCGAAGCTACAATTGTTGCCAAAGATGCCTCCACTAAGTATAGTGGAAGTAAATAATTAGTTTACTTTGTTTTTGATTTGTCTTTACAGTTCTTACTGGCTTTAAACTTCTTTCACCTGTACAAGAGCTCAGTCTGAACATTCAAGATCCTATTCTAAAACATTCAGTTAAATAATTTGTATATATCATTTGTAATGCAACAATGAGACATTTTTTTATGATGGGGTGAATACTTTTGCAAGGCACTGCACGGAAAGAAACTACATTTTTTATTGTAATTAACAGAATTTATTTGTTTTCAATGCCTCTCAATACCTAAATATATAGATTCAGAATGTATTTTTCCCTTTTGGGGCAGCATAGTGGTTTGGTAGTTACCACTGTCCCCTTACAACTTTTGGACAGTGGGATTAATTATACAAAAACAGTGCCTTAAGCTTTGCACTTCAAATAGCTTTGATACATCACATCCATTCCAGCAGTCTTCCATACCTGAGAATAGCATGGCACAGTGATATTCCAGATGAAAGTGTCCATGAGGTTGTCATCTTACAAAAAATCTATACAGTATAAACATGCAGCTCCATAATAGGTTTTGACATTAAGGCACTGATAAAAGCATGGGACAATACAGCATTCACAGGGGGCAATTTCAGTTTGAAACATAAAAAATGTTGTAGCACTTAAGTGCTGGTAGGTTCTGAAGAATGACAAGATATTAGGCAAGGACAATGATCGCTCAAAATTCTGTCTTGAGTTAGTACACACCTGCAGGAATATCAACTCCTACTCAGATTCAAAGAACAGAGTATCACAGATTGGCCCTAAGTCCAGCAAAGCACACAGTGTCAAATGGTACACAACAACAAAACAGTGCCAGTCAAGGAAGTGACATAAGAAATAAAGAACTTTCTAATCTATCTCTGCCATCTGGTGGACAATTTTGCTAAGTCACAAGGCAATTTGAAATATAACAGGGATGCCACAGCTTCCTATATTGTTGCCATAACATCTTACAACACAGGTTAGAAATCTGTTGTCCAGTACTCTGCTCTGCAAACAGGACGATAAAAGGATTTGATTTCTAAAAGAACAGTTTATTTTTCTTCAGAAATGAAAAAAATAATAAAAAAAAGGATTGTGAAACAAAATCCAAAAAGGAAGGAACATTTGGAGGAAAGGTCCATTCAACCACTACAAAAAAAGCAAGAGCTTCCAAGAAAGACCAAATAGAAACCAGAAGTCGTTTTGCATACTCTGGAAAAAGAAAAATTGTTTCTCTCAGTGATGATGAATTTCTCGATCTCATCCTTGAGGGACTGCCTGTTACAGAATGTGTTTTCACTCATTTAACATGCAACAACGGCCAAAAATGGACATACCTTCTCTTAACCATTTAAATCAGGTGTGTCAAACTCCTGCAGGGTTTGACACAAACTCCTGGAGGGTCTAGTGTCTTCAGTTCCACTCGAGCTCCCATTTACACAGTTGATATAATTATCAATTGACTGCATAACTGTAGTACTTTTAACCTGGTACTGAGGTGTTTTATAGGTCACACTGAATGTAATAATTGATTAACTGCGTAACTGTAGTAGCTTTAACCTGGATCTGAGATACAGATAGGTTACACTCTCTTTAATGAAATTGATGTTTTGAGTAACAGTAAAATACCTAAGTAAACAGATTATTATTCTGTACATGTGTAGGTTAGAAAATAATTTGTTTATTTGACAACACAGAATGACATAGAAGCTTTAAGACACTAGATCTCCTGTGACTGTGTTTTCCACCCAATTATTTAACGTGCAGTGCACTGTTCAACTCAATTATTTCAATTATTCTTAGTCTCATTTCAATTCAACTGCTCTCTCCATCAAACATCAGATCTTCACTTACAACCACTAACATCTCCTAATCACTAACGTCTCCTGCCTGCTCCTGTTTGGCCAGGGATACTTCTTTATAACCAAAACTTCTATGTTATCTATCATACCCAAACACATCAGCAGCCAAAGTGTTGTTTTTTTTTCCTCATTTGACTTGCCCTCAAGGGCCTGCCCATGTGTCTGTAGATGGTAAGACATAAGCTGAACTCTGGATTCCACCTGTGCCATTTAGACCATTCTCCTTCAGGTGTGGGGAAGAAATATGAGGCTATCTTGCCAAGCAATGCCTTCTCCCCTCCAGGCGCTCAATAAGGCTTTTCAGTTTCTTAACACTGTTTTACTGTTGTGAAACCTGAGTGCTACAGTATATTTACTCTCTTTTTCTTCTTGATAGGGTAAATATTTATATATGAAAATGAACACACCAAAGCTAAATTATATTTTGCTGATACTACCAATTGGAATTCCAATAAAATATAAGGAAAATAAAACATAAGAATGAAATGGGTTTTGAGTACATTTTGCCTGATGAAGCATTTGATTTTATCATCTTAATGGTGCGCTTTAGAAATTCACTTCAGTTACAATGTAAATTCCCCATAAAAATAAAAAGGTGAAAACACATTTTATTTAAAAATCTACAAAAGTGTTAATTCATATTTCAGTTAATAACAGATTCTGTAAGAAAATAAATATTAAAAACAACATAATTCAATGTACACGCAATTGTTTTAAGATTAACAAATGAGAGGCGCTTTTATCAAAACATTACGGTAATACTTCACAGCATATTCCGGTATGTGTTTTCCTTCCTGTGACATAGGGCTCCCATATAGGGCAAGCTGCTGACGTGTAGGTAGGGAAGTAACTCTTCCACAAATAGGTTTCCGCATCGTGTATCGTGGGTGACAGTCCATGGGATGAGTGTGAATCTGGGTTTAATGAAGAAGTCCGGACCAATTCAGGAGAGTAGTACAAAAACCAGTTGAGACTGTTATTAATTTCAAGTTTGTTCCATAGCGTCTGGTGGAGTCTATTCAATCATTGCCATGTGATAGTAGATTCTGCATTCATAATCGTGTTAATGAGGTACAGTAAATTTTGTATAAACACTATGTATTCCTTAAATCCTTAATGTGAAAATACGTTTTTAAGAACACGAGAAACCCTGTTAGCTATTATAAGACATTTAATATCTGATCATGGAGTTAATTGTAAGATACGTGTTTTAATTATATTTGTGTATCAGAATAAAAAGCATTTCAGATACCGCATTTCCTGAGATAGGCTGCACATCTTTGAATTGGCTGATGTACATTAGACATTTTATGGGATCTGTTTTGGTCTTTCTGATTGTTTACAGAATTAATCTTTTATCATATATATTTACATTCTACAGTAAGTGAATGGCAAGTACGTTAAATTGGGCACGTCGGTTTGGATAACAACTACGGTATTTTGAATCTTTTTGGTAAACATTTATGAAATAGTTTAATCGTCAAACCATAAACCTCAAGAAACAAGCTGTCTGAAGTCGTTAAAAGGAACCAGAAGAGGACGTTAATACCAAGATGTAGGTCACAATATTTACTTCGTACATACACTGTATGATACAGAATATTGTTTCCCCTCGTATTTTAGAACAGTGGTTCTCAATCGTGGTCTTGAGGGAAAGCTGTGAAATGATTTTCGGTCTAATTTGACCGGCTACAATTGAAGTTATTGATTTGCTTATTTAGACTTTTATTTTGCACTCAGTCCTTGAAACTTAAACATTCAGAAATATACTTAGCCTCTCGTCAGCTTTCAAACAAAGACTTTTATGCCTTATTCCTGAATTAAAAGCACTTAGTAGGTGATCAAGTTATAGTTAGCGGATAGGTTGAAAGATAATTTAGCAGTTGCTCCCAATAATGTGTTTTTTCCCCTTCTGCTGAAGTCCAATGTGTTTCATCATTTTCTTCTAATATACGCAACTGGGGTTAGTTCTGGAACCAGAGAATTGGTGCGAGATTAATAACAATTTTGAATCCCATACAATTTTTAGTATCTGGAAGAAGAAATTAAGAGTTGAAATTGAAAATTGAAATCAATTTGGCCGTGATTAAGAACTTGGCTGGTGCACAAACAAGATAACTGAGAACCGCTGTTATAAAGTATGGATCTGCTGGATTAAACAGATTAATTTATTTTATTATATTTTATTTTTTTATGAACATGACATTTGATATTCTTTGTTTCCTTAATGCTGAATGTAAAAAAAAAGATATGAAAAAGATTGAGATATTGCTCAAATGTTTTCTTTGTAAACATTTGCAAACAGAATATTAAAACTAAAAGTTCTATTTTATATTGTCAGGCAAAAGATGATGGAAAGAAATAAGACAGGGACTGGGAAGTTTGTTTTCCAATCTTTTTCTCATTACACATTTAAAAAAGGAAAATGCAGGGTGCTAATAATAAAAGCTTGTATGTGATCCTTGGGGCCCTGTTAATGAATAAAGGACCTGTGAAGGAAAAACAAAATGGAAATTATACTTTATAGACTGTTTGACCCCTGAGAAATATTATGTACAAGAATGAAAGCCGGTTTGTTGTTCTACACCTCTTAGTGGTCCTAACCTAATGTTGTCATGGTGGTTATCTTATAATGCCTTTCAGCTTGGGTGAGGGAAGGTGGAAGGTGTTGAGTAACCACAGAATTTAAACCAGTGATTGTAGTTTTTTCTTTTCTAGCACTAGGCCTCTGTATGGTGTAGGTGGAGTAAAATGACCCACCGGAAGGCACTGGTAGATCTTGATTACTACTGTTCTGTGCATTTATGGCGACACTATTGCAGTCTAGGAGAAGAGTACTTTTGTTTACCCTTCATCTAAAAGAACAGTAGTCTTGACCCTTACTTATTACAAAGACCATTATGTATTTTGCCAGGTTTTCGAGCTAAGGTTAGGTGATACCATTTGTCTGCTGATGGTGCTGTTTTAAACTTTCAGCTTCAGAAGAGCTGGGAAGGTGTTTTTGTCTTTTGGAGAAACTGTTTTTCTTCATTTTGTGGAATATAATGGAATTCAAAGCCTGGAGAAGGAAAAACGAGTAAACGGCTAAACCATGCATATCATAGTTGAGCACGGCAACTAGGTGAAAGATCACAGTTTTATTGGTTTCATCTGAGAAGCAGAACATATCAAGATATGGAACCTCACAACACTACTCAGAAAAAATATATATAACATGTAAGATAGTGTAGTTGATTGCCATACTTGTCAATGACTTTTATTAGAGGTAGAGGTTTGTTATACACTACAATAAACAAGGTATTGTTTGTATTTTGCAGTTTGGAGGAGTGAACAATGGGGAAGTATAAGGTTCCAGACCTGTATCGTGCCCCCTTTCCGCTGTACACAGTGCGTGTGCATCGAGACACTGGATTGGTCATCACTGCAGGGGGAGGCGGAGCTTCTAAAACAGGCATTAAGAATGGAGTGGTGAGACTTGTTTTACAAAAACTCAATTGCCTTGCAAAAAAAATGTGTTTTCCACCTCACCTTTACTTTTTCTACAGCCTTATGTAAGTTTTTAGTGATGGTCCCTTGCAAAAGTTTCCACCCCTTTCCAATTATGTAATTATTTTATAGGATTAGATGTACACATTTTTTAAAGTTTTTTGGATGCCTTTTTAGTTGCTTCCTTGTGTTGTCAAGCAGATGTTTCAACACAAACACCTGTGCCATTTTTGATAAATAGCCTTTTTATGTCAGCATTTCCCAATTTATATTTATATTTGCTTTAACTACCTGCATGTGAAACCCTCTACTTGTCTACATTAAATGTTAAAAAAATATTTTCTAAAATCTTTTTTGAATTCCATTGACAGGTTCTACAATGTTTGCTATTCCTCCTAATTTGGTATTATCTGTAAACTTAACTGCTTCACTAACTATACCACAATCTAGATCATTGAAATAAATGAAGAGCAGTAGTGGTTCTACTCCAGTTCTCTGTGGGATGGCACTAATCCTCTGACTCTAATTTGTGTATTCATCCCCTTATCTGTACTCTGTGTTTTATATTTAACCAGTTCTCAATCCAAAAACTTGCATTTCCTTGAATGCCTACCACCTGCAATTTGATAATTAGTAATTTAAGAAATTATTACAATTCTTCTGAAAATTGTGCATATATAGATACTTTATTGATCCCATGAGGGAAATTGCAGTGCAACAGCAGCTTAGCACAGTATTACGAAATACAACAATACAATACATACAATACCGTCAGTACAGTCAGCGAGAAGTGCACTAAAAAAAAAGTTGCTCACAGTTCAGAATATACAAAAAACAGAACAGTAAAAAAAAGTTGTATTGCACATTATAAGTAGAAAAATATATTTTTGCATCATAGCTAACAAAACTCATAAATAACAAGACTGTAAAATGCCTTTGTAAATACCAGTCAGTGAAATAAAAATGTTTAAAAATTAAAGTACAAACCTTCCTACTGGGATCTAGGGTGAACTGGGATAATCTTGTTTCATTTAAGAGGATCTCCCAACATTTGTTTTCTGTCTTCTCAGCATTTTCTGCGGGTGGAATTGGTGGAAGGGCAGTTCAGTGCTTCTCTTGCACACTCCTTTGATACTGACCCCCGTGCTACCATGAACCTGGCACTAGGGGACAATGTCATTGCAGCTGGACAAGACACCAGCTGCCAGCTTCTACGCTTCAGAGAGTGCTCTGACAAACCAGAAGCTAAACCACCAGGAAAAGGAGGTGAGGTACTTTTCTGTCTTGACAGTGAGGGGACACTCAGAACTTTGAAAGAGTTAATTTACATAAACATAAATAATATGTGTTTGAGGCTGTTAAAAAGCACTTTTTTGCATATAGTTTTGCCTGTAGAACCCTAAATTATTGTTTATCCTCCCTTTAAGAATATGATAAAGATCTAGTTACCTTGCGTATTGAAAGTGCTAGCTGTGGGATGACTGCTACAGTTAGTGGTAAGCCTGAGGCAAAATATAAAAATGAATACTTAAAATATAAAACCATTGGTTTTTAACAGTGGTGCATAAATAAAAATAATAAATTGAGAACCACAAAATCTTTAGGCCCTCCCTACATTGATCCAAGATGAGTTTAACATTATGTAAATAACCAACGGATGCTTGAGATTTCAGTATGCAAAGAGCAAAGAAAAACTTAGTGAACTTCAGAGATAAATATAGAAAGTCCATAGTTTTACCATCACGGAAAGTCTTGAATCAAAACCAGTCTTTATCTAAATATCCAATAGGGTCATAGTAATCAATTCCATGCCTCCTGAAACTTAATGATGTATGAATTAAAAAACGAGTAATTAAGGAATAGGGAGTGTGAAAAAGTAGACGAACCCCCAGTTTCATTGCTCAATTAGGGGAAAAATTAAAACCATGTGTTTAAAGAATTAGGTAGGTCTTAGGTGGCTGCGTTTAGAAGAACATACCCTTTATAAAGATCATAAACGCTGTGAGCTTGGTCTTTACCATACAGGTGTGTTGAAACAAGTCATGTCACGATATGAGGACATCTCGGAGAACCCCTGAAAATGAGTTATTGATGCTAATCAGTCTGGAAAGGTTTACAAAACTATTTCTGTGTGGGACCAATCCACTGTCAGAGAGATACAAAAGCCTGTAAAAGGAGAAATGTACTCCCTCTCAGAAGTTCACCAAAGAGCACATAAGTGATCCACAAAGCCTCTAGACCAGTGTTCTCCAGACGGATGAGTCAAAGGTAGAACTCTTTGGCCTCGGTGAGAAACATCATGTCTGGTGAAAGCCAAAAGCTGATTTTGAAGAGAAGAAACTCATCCCAGCTCTTAAGCATGGTGGAGAGAGTGTGGTAGCTTGGGGCTATTTTACTGCAACAGGACAGCAAGCCATCATTGACACAACCATGGCTTCTGTATTGTTTCAGACAGTTCTAGAGGATTCTGTGACCTGAATCGGAACCAAAAGTCTGTCTGTGATCCTAAATATCACTGACTACAAAAACGCAGATCTACAAAAGAATGGCTGCAGAAGAAATTCTGTTTTACAATGGCCTAATTACAGGCCAGATCTTAAACCCCACTGAAATGTTGTGACAGGTCAGGAGTGTGTTGTCCCTGCGAGGTGTCCTTCAAATGTTACAGAGATGAAGGAGGAATGGGTCAAAATTCCTCAAAACAGATGCAAATCAGTGATTAGAAGCAACTTTTAATAGCAGTCATTGCTGGTCTAGGGAGTTCTAGAAGTTAAAAGCTCACATTTTTTTTCAAACATAGTTAAATAGTATATTGGAACGGTATTCAATTATTAAAGATTAAAGATTTAATAACATTTTCAATTTTAAATATGTAAAATATGTGGAAATCCTAAGAGGTTCCCAAACCTTTTTTGGCACTGAGTTTATGTGTCTTTGGCTGAATGTTTTTCTTTAGTTGGTTGATGAATTGACAGTGAATACCCTGCTAAGCTCTCATTTCAGTCTTCTGCAAGCAGTTTTCTTACAGTGTATTTCTTTATTGAGCCTTGGCATTATTACACTGGCATTATATCCAGCAAGAATGTGGCCATTTAATGTATGTTTTATTTTTAGAAGGCAAAGAAGAATGCAGCAGCATCTGAAAGCCATATTTTTGTGCATCTCATAATATACTTACACAAGTATAATTGTTTACTGTTGTGTAATTAAAACTTTAAGCTCTATAATTACAGAATAATCCTCAATTTTTTCGGGCCAGGTCTGTTTTGAACATTAGTACTTGTACAGTACAGTGTGTACAGTGTGAGTGCATGATATATTTTATGCTTTCTGTCATTTTCAGGGGGTGATGGACGGGGAGCACACAGGAGGAAGGTTCAAGCTGGGAGCGACAGCACCCCAGGAACGCATGATGACTCCCCTCAGATCACTGTGGAGACCCTGGGGGAGGTACAGACGGACTTCAGCCCAGATGGCCTTCAGAAATGTGTGCAGTTCAGTGTAGATCATAGCCTGCTTGTGACGGGTGGAGCTGATGGACATGTGCGAGTATGGGAGGTGAGACAAAGGGCTTATCTTCATAATGTTTCTCAATACTGCTTTGTGCAAATGCGGATATTCCTGGACAGTTATTTGATGAAGCATCATACATTAGTTCAGTTCAACTGTTAAATTCCAAATTAGATATCATAATATTCAGAGTAACTTCCATCCATCCATTGACTAAACGCCTCATCCAATTCAGGGTTGCAGGGGAGCTGTAGTCTATTCTGGCAAGCAACAAGCTCAAGACACCATACACCCTGGACAGGATACCAGTCTACTAGAGACCACACACAGACACATACTCACACCAGAGACAATTTTCCCAGAAGCCAATTGAACTACTAAAGTGTGTCTTTGGACTGAGGAAGGAAACCCATGACAAGAATATACAAACTCCGCACAGGTAGCACCCAGGTCCAGAATTTAACCCAGGGCCCCAGTGCTGCAAGGCAATAATGCTAACCACTGTGCCACTGAACCACCCCTCTTCAGAGTTACTTAAATTTTGTTAAATTGCACAATGATATCCAGGTGTGTTTTACCTGTTTCATGCAATGATTTTAAATCTTAACATAAGATAGATAGATACTTTATTGATCCTGTGAGGGAAATTGCAGAAATAGATTGATATTAATAGCCATCAACAGAAACTGAGTGGAGCACTGTGCTAAAACAACATTTTGTAATATCTCTGGCAGATCAGTTTAGTATATATGTAGTTTTGTTCTGTTAGCATAATTCTAATCAGGGTCATGGTCTTTCTAGCTTGTAAATAACAGCTTTTAGAGTAGACCATTATTTATACTATTTATATGAACAACAGAACTGAAGCTGATTGCAGTATATACCCACATGTATTGGAGATTTCTTTTAAAGTGTGTACAGGTGTATATGAAACTTATGATTTTTTAAATGTTATTAATTTATAAAGCATACGTGATAATAAGAGAACATACATTTAATTTTATGGGAGGCAAAAATAGATTTTAATACCCTTTGGTAAGGGATTGCATTGTTGTCTGGTACAGTATTAAAAATGTAATTTTAAAATGGTAAATGCAAAGGTTTTTGTTCTTCCAATTGATCCATAACAGTTTGTTGGTGATTTTCACTTAGGAAAGTATTTTTTTTTCACAAATGAGAAGTATTGGTTCTTCAAAATTATAGTTTGGCTGAAGTTCTTCTGTTCTTTACCATAGTTCCCTGCTATGAAAAAGAAGCTAGATTTCAAAGCGCATGATGGAGAGATTGAAGATTTAGACATCATCCAGGACAGTAAGGTAATAGTATAAGAAGGTTATTTAAAAGAACAGAATTCAAAACAAGAAAAGCAGTACTTGGATATTCTGATACAATTCATGTTTTATTGTTGCTGTTAATACAGCAAGTATTGGGGCAAATTGAGTCACTTTTGGCAATTTTTTGTCTTATTGGTTTTAATTTCCAAGTTTAAAAGTGGCTTTCCAAAACAAAAATTAAAAAACAATTTATTAAGTCTCCATGTTTGCCCTCAACAATATATCCAATACTTGCACAGGACGGAAAATGCCAGATGTTTCCTCTATGCTGCGTTTTCAAGAAATAGCTTTTGCTTTACGGGGAGCAGAATTAGTCTCTTAGCTGTAGTACACGTTGTATCTTCCTCCTTTTTTACTTTCATGGATATTATTGAAACACATGTCAAAAAGTTGTTTAAATGAAACAATCCAATTTTGGCTAAAATATCCATGAGCCTACCTACAGCTCACATGTATTTTTGCTTTTTTACATAATGTAAAGTAGTCAGTAGTAAAGGTTAGTGAAAACAAGCATTGCCTAATGTGAATGTCCCTGGAATTCCTTTAGACCAAAAAATTATTAAAACCAGGAAATTAGCAAAAAACCCTTGGTTTAGATTTGGGGGTTTGAGATTATTCAGATATGAGTGCTGAATATATTAGCACTCTTATTTGATGAAAGTTTCACTGTTTAATTACTACAGGTAAGACGTTTGGCAGTTTCCATACTGTAAGCTTAGTCTTTAAATGAGCTTTGCATGTAGTGTAAGAAACATAAATCACAAAAAATACCTTACTCTTGCTGGTTGAGGGTACTAGAAAACGACTGCTAGTTTTCCAACTGCTATTGTTGTACAGTGCTGATAAAATTTCTAGGGTTTAAAGATGTTAGGGCTGTTTTCTGGTTTGAAGAAGTTCATAGCTTAAGAAGCCTCCACAGCCGAAACGTTGTGTTCTTTTCAACAAGAAATCTTTGCTTGTTCCTTATTTTCTGGTTTGCTTTTCGTACCAAGGAGCACCAGTTGCATCATGTTTTAAAATGTCACAATTTCTTTGACAGCAGATAGTGACGGTGGGACGGGATTTTAAATGCTGTGTATGGCAGAATGACCAGCTGGCAACAGCGCTGCGCTGGAATGAAAATATGCCCAACATCCCTGAAAAGATGTATCGGTACCAAGCATGCAGGCAAGATCTGTGGCTCTTTGTTAAGCCTTTTGTCACTTGCTCTTCTTTAGTTCCTGCTGGTGCAGGTGCTCTTCCTTTATTGACACATTGCATCTCCCCCACACTTTCCAGTTAACAACTTCTTTGTTCCAAGGGAACCTAAAGTTAGATTGATAGAAAACTGGCACACACGATGGTACCTCTTTGATTTACTTTTACATATGGGGAAAAAATATATTTTGGTGTAATTTCTTTATTTTAGTCCACTTTGTGGTTATTAATTGCATACTTTGCTTATTTGTTTGATTAGTAAAAGATTAGTAACTGTCCTGTTTTAGTTTCTTTATTATTGCTAATTATACATGTTCATGATCCAATGGGAATCAAAAGGGCAATGCTTCACTTCCACAGATGTTTAACCTTATACGGTACTTTATTTGTGTTAGTTGTCTGCCTTTATGTTATTTGGTTGCAACACTATTTCAGGTATGTAAGCTTAGCACATTTCTACTTTGCAAGTTGTATTTGTAGCTACAAGGATATTTAACATTTCTGTACTGTAGAATGTATTATTTCTGCAGTATATGAAGTATTTAAAAGAGGTACAGATATTCAGTTTAATTTTTATGAGTTAGGTGACTTGGTTGTTTCTCTGCTTTGTGAATAAATGACATACTCCAGCCCTGTGTGTCACAAGAGTTTTCAGGAGAGGTATGGAGAAAGTGTATTAATAGTTCTTTTTTTTGTTGTTCGATATTTCTGGTAGATTTGCCAAGGTGGAAGACCAGCCTGACGCTCTGCGGCTGTACACAGTCCAGATTCCTCACAAGCGTGACCGCAAACCCCCTCCCTGCTACCTAACCAAGTGGGATGGCAGCAACTTCCTGCCTCTCCTTACACGGCCCTGTGGCAACGAGGTTATTTCCTGTCTGGCTGTCAGGTAAAGAATCCACTCCTTGATTTACACACTCAACAGTCCTTTATTAATGGAACACATGAGTTTCAAAGAGTGTGGTGTGTGTTCAGTCTCTTATTACAGTCTTGTATCAGGCCAAATTTACAGTTGTTAGGACAAATGCATCAAATCTTTAAATCTTGACACATAATGCCCAAAAGAAACATGTAGGCACAGTCACATTTATTCTGACTATAGTGAAAAGGAAAGAATGAAAAAAGAATGTATTTATTTTGTCATCAAAATACATAGAGTTACTACTGTGTATTATGTGATAACTGCACACCTTTCTTGATAAACTTTTACTATTGGTAAATGAGATAAGCAGCAACAGCTCCTGAAATGCTTTCATATTTAATATTATTTTCCAAGTAAGCATACTGTATGAAAACGCTTTGTATACTATTCACTCACTTGATAACCCTGGGCCTTGTTTGCAGCACATTCATAAAATTCGCCTTGACCTTATTTTTTAATATTTCCTGTTTTGGTGACAGATTATTTCGCCATTTACATTGAGTTTCTTCAAAACATAAAAGTTTAACCAGCACCCAAAAAAAAACAAACAAAATATTGTACTTTTTTAAAATTTGTAAAATTTGAGCACGAAACATACTGTATTGTACAGGGCCTTGTTTTTTAACAGCTAACAAGAACAACGCAAAAAATATTTCTGTAAAAAACAGGGGGAGATGACTATGTACAGTGCCTATAGAAAGTCTACACCCCCCCCTCGTACATTTTCACATTTTATTGTGTTACAGCATGGAACTTTTAACAGAATTTTTGCCACTGATCAACACAAAGTACTCTATAATGTCAAAGTAAAAAAAATCCAGACATTTTACTAAATTAATAAGTAAATGTGTTTTTTTTGTTTCAGTGACTCTGGGACGTTCCTGGGTCTGGGTATGGTAACGGGATCTGTAGCTATTTACATTTCCTTCTCACTGCAGGTACGAAGCCTATAAACTAGTTGTCATTCAACCCTCTGCCAAAAATCTGCAGTCTCACAGATTTTTTTGTTATCCTGCCATGGATTCACCCCTTAAATATCAGGACATAGTTTGTATATGACAGGAAGTTTGTCATTCAAATACAGGAATTGTGTATTCAGTGGATCTATTTTACACTTTCAAGGACATGAAATTGACTGAGACTTCAGCAACCTTTAGACACTATTTAACTATTCTTGTATTTTGTCCTGATGCATGTGTACACTGTGTAATAAGAAATTGACCCCTGTAACTGGAATCCAATAGCATGATTTGTTTTAAGTATGGGGGATCCAAAGTGTCAGTAAGTCTGCAAAACAGGTGTAAGGGCACGTCATTTCTCAACATTATTATATCAGTTTAGGGATTCAATAATTAAATTATTCCATGCGGTGGGATTATGTAATAAGCTTTCGAGTTATGTTGTTGAAGCTATTACTCTGGCTTCTTTCAAGAAATAACTGGCTGATGTTCTTGTATCAGTTAACTTTCTGAAGAACTTTGTGATGTTCTTGTATCAATAAACTATTACCAAATAGTTAATAATTGCCCATAATCTACAATTACCACAGTCCATAATTACCAAATGAACTAAATGGGCCGAATGTTGTGTGTAGCTTTTCTTTGTAGCTGGTGTTATATTCTTAAAATTGCCATTTTTAGTAAGAGTTTAAGAAAGATTCTAAGCATTAAAATAAGTGCCAAAACTCGAGCCCTAATTATACTTTTATTATGCAATGAAGAAATATTATATACTATAATTAATATAACGTTTTTACTATATGAGTGTATATATATATGCAAATAAGTCTCCTGCTAATTGTTATAAGTGTATTAGCATATTTTATTTCTGTTCCAAAAATCTGAGTGACCAACAGTTTCAACAAGAACACTCATGGAAGTCCATTGCAGTCCATTATTTTGTAGACTATCATCTGTCCATGGAAGTACAGTAAAATATTCTTGCTTCTTTATTTTTATACACAGAAGCTTTACTATGTCCAAGAAGCACATGGGATTGTGGTCACAGGCTTGGCCTTCCTGCCGGACACAAAGCAAGGCCTGAAAATCCTTGGGGACAACGAGGCAGCCATGTTAAGTGTGGCAGTGGACAGTCGGTGTAAAATGCACGTTCTCCCCAGCCGACGTAAGTGTGTCAGGAAGGCGATACAGGAATTGCAGTGTACCTAGTCGCCTTTTCAGTGTGGTTTTTCAAGGTTATTCGGATGCTTATCAGAAAGATTTTAAAGAAAATCTGCAGCATTAGATAGAGTGCTGGAAAATCATTTCAAATACAGTGAACACTGATGGAAAATATATCGATTTTGAAAATGAGGCCTATCACATAAACTAAGTTGTCCAGTAATGGTATAAAATTCAATATTTTGTATTTAAATATAAAGTATTAGAAATGATAAAGTTTAATAATAATAGAATAATAGAAAATAATTCACCAACCAATTGAATAATTCCATCACCAAAGAGGAGATGGAGTGGTCGATATTAATCTTGACATTTTATTCTATGCTATTTGGTAGCCCTTAAAGTTGTATGGTTTTTGGTACATATTTTTACCACTTTCTGATGACTTCTCTTTTTCTTTAGGAACCTTTCCTGTCTGGTTGGTTCTCCTTCTCTGCGCTTTAATGGTCATTTTTGTCATCCTGCTCCTGCAACACGCCTTCCCAGGGTTAATTTAGGAAGGACGGGTTCCCCTTAAGCTGCTCAGCATGGGTACAGACCCAGACAAACATGAGCTGCCTCCTCAGTTCTTCTCAGGGAACTTGGCTCCTGGTCTGGATGGACAGCAACACATTGAGCAAGAGAAGACACTTCGCATGATACTGGTGGTGAAGAACACTTGACTAAGCTTTGATTCCTTAGGAAAAATAAGGAAGGTTATTTGTTTGCCACCATTATGGTGCACTCTTTGTTGCTTTTAATGTCAAATTTTATGATTTCTGATTTTTATTTTAAGGAAAAGCCGGAGACATCTTTAATTAAAATTCTGACTTTAAACATTAACCCTGCCTATACCTGGATTTTAGGTGCCTGTAAAGTAATGTTTGGCGACTCTTGAGAGTTTGGATATTGATTAACTAATGGCAGAATTTGCTTTTCCGTTCCTTAATGAGAATATTTTGATGCTGTTTTTGTCCTAACCCTCTGTTTAAGTAATAAATAGTGGTATTAACAAACCACCGTGATGTATTTATGTACAGCAGACTCTCAACATAACAGACCAGGCTGAATCCAGCTTTCTGTGCCACAATCTGTTGTTCTAGTGATTCTATTGATTTTTCATTCTACACTTTCTATTGGGACTGAAAAGTTTAAAAAGGATTTAGTGTAATGTTGATTTTGTTTCCATCTATTTTTCTTGGACTAAAAACCCATGCAGATAATGTGCTAAATGAGAGCTGTCTTCCAAATGACACACATATAATACTTAAATTTAACTGCAGTGATGGAGTTATGCACCCAGACAGCATAGTACTCTCCCATTCATATATTTAGAGTTATATTTGAGAATGAATAATCTCACTGCACTAAGTAATTTCACATAGACATACAACAATGGTTGTATTCATTCTTGGAACGTTTTGGTTTACCATAGAAAAGCAGACTATAATTTACATATGTTTCTGGCTGTTAACTATCAAATCTTTATTGGTGTTCTAGCACATTTGTAGTGTGAAAGGAGTGGGACATCATGCATTACCTATAGTAGCATTACATGTCAAATGTTAATTGTGTTCCAAAAAAAGCTTCATGCTATGGCTTTGTTTGAAACATATCCATTGACTGCAATGTTCTGTTTAAGAAAACTACCAGAAATCACTCTTGTAATTAATAAAATAAATTCAGGTATAAAGAGAAACTATTTTGTATTTAAGCTCCACTTTCATGAAGGATAAATCTTTGTTTAAAATAAAAACCTGAGCTAATCCAGGTAATTTCTTGTCCATGAATGATATCAGCTCCTGGCTATTTCTTCTGGTTATTCATCTTCTATCAATATATGTCATGTTGAATTCCTTGTGTGAATTTATAGCTTTCTTTACAAAATTTGATATATGTTAAAGTGTCTTAGGTTGAGCTATCATTGGTTGAATGTTAAGGGTTGAGAGATAACTTTGCTGACACTTCAGCAGTATGAACTGCTGAAGCCTTAGAATTCTTGAAAACTGGACAGACCCCATCTCAAGGTACGTGATCAACCTAAAACATGAGACATAGCTCACAGTTTCAACACAGACATTTCCTAGATGTTTCTATGAGCCTGGGGTCTTAATACCTGTTTTCTCTGACAGGATTACAAGAAATTCATTCATTCAATTCATTTGGGAGACCAGTGCTACGAAACCAACCCATTTTAATAACAAATCCAGATTTTGTCTCAATTATACTGTGTAGAATTTACGGAACCCAACTGCTATGGAGGAGGATCTTTTTATGGCTTTAGCTATAATTGGTGTATGAGAAAATGACATCTACAGTTTGTGTAACCTCAACATTAATGATTATCTGTAAAAGTTTTGTATTTATGTACAGCAGACTGTCATCATAACAGACCAGGCTGAATCCAGCTTTCTGTGCCATTATAGAAGAGTCTGTTGTTCTAGTCAGTCTATAGATTTTTCATTCTATCTGTATAACTTCATCACATAACATCACATAACATGTTAACCCCAATGTTGAAACTAACATCCACTCTGGACTTGTACAATCCACCATTCCTAAATTCATTTGGTGAAGCAATTTCTCAATTCTCTGCCTAATCTCCTCTGTAGTGGACACTTGGCGCACAACGGCTGCCACATGTCCCAGATGGACACAAAAGGTGTGTGCTGGATTTTGGAGGTGGATGAAGGGGATCCCTTTTTATGTAGACATTTCTTTGGGATCCCTAGTGACGAAAAGTGGAAATCTTTCTAAACAAAGTGTTATGAATGGACGGAATAAATTACCAAGATATTGCAAAAATGAGAAATTACTTAAAGCTACATGATACTGTGACACGATCTTAGTCTATAGGAAAATCATGTGCCCTTATAGGCAGACCTGTTTTTGTCATTAATTTATTTTTTTGTGATCTTGTGCTTAAGGCTTATGGGAATTTTATCGCAAATATAGCCTTTATAGCAAAGGCACATAGTATTTGCTTAACTGTTAAGTGTGAAATAAAACAATAGACAAGGAAAAGGAAGAATACATTTATAGATAGAGTAACAGTTTTTACTATTTACTATTTATAAAAAGGAGATGGTAAATTGTAGTGAGTCATCATTTTAGGAGACTGTAAGCGGCTCTGTGGCTAAGGATCTGTGCCTGTGACCGGAAGGTTGCCAGTTCAAATCCCACGGCCGGCAGAGGAATCCTACTCCGTTGGGCCCCTGAGCAAGGCCCTTAACCCCAACTGCTCCAGGGGAGCCTTACAATGGCAGACCCTGCGCTCTGACCCCAAGCTTCTCTCCCTGTCTCTGTGTCTGTGTCTCCCTGGAGAAAAGCTGGGGTATGCATTCCTAATGCAAGACGCATTCCTAATGCAAGAAATTGTATAGGGCTAATAAAGAAACAACATAAACATTGTCTGGGTGCATGTACTGTACTATACTTCTGTAGGCCTTAGGAAGTCTAAAATGATTTAGGTTTTACAGGTGAGTGCTGCAGGGTTAGGAGAAACAATCTGTGAAAGGATTTTCAACTAGGGTTTCACAGGGTCCTCTAAACTGTTCAGGAGATTTCCTAGAAGCTAATGACAACTTTTCACACCTGGTAAAATTTGAAAGCTCATTGACTTTAATTTAAAATTCTGAAAGTTCTTGCCAAACAAATATTTCCAAATCAATAATAAGAAAAGGACTGAAGTTGAGAGTGGAATTGTCAGTGCACTCAGGTTTATACACAATACAGTTCTTGATCCTGACATTTGTCTTTGGCTGGTACAAACAACACAACCACAAAAAAACATCTGATGAGCAATCAATAAAATACCAGACATAAAACTGAAATATTGGTGTTTCAGTAACCTAAAAAAGTTTTTCTTGTGTAAATTGTTGATAAGTAGCAAGCATTGAGTCTGAACTGCAGAAAAATGAACTCCAATATTAAACTTACAGTATTTTTGACCGCACTTCCCAAAGGTCTCCACATTGTGTTCTGGGTTTTAACCAGTAAATATTTGAATAATCTTGCAAAATCTGCATTTATTTTTTATACTTTTGTCTGTGTTGGGACATTTTGTTGTAGTATTCTGTTGAATGATGTGTAGATCTTCCACTAGATGGCAGAATAAGCACCTATTTCTATTTATATGAGAGAAGGACCACTATTTTAAATACAGTACTTAGATTTACAATGTTTTCCAAACTCAGTCCTTCTGCCTGAATTTTGTGTAATCTCTTAACTCTTTAATTCATTCAATCAAATTAGTCATATGGGAAAGTAAACTGTTTGTTTCAAAATAAGAAACCCATTGTCTCCTTAATGATAATAAGGCACACATTGCAAAACAATAAGATTAATATTGTTGCCTAATAAACATTTTCCACCAGTGTGCCAAAGGAATTTTTATAATACCCAATAGAGGTTTTGAGAATACAGTTATGATATAAAAAAGACAAAAAGTTAAGAATAATAGACTAGTTACCATTTTGATTTATAAAAGTGGCATGTAAAACTAATTTAAAATAAATTTAAATTGTGTTCTTGAGCGAGAAATCCCTGTAAATTAATCCATTTATACTTAATGAACAGTGTGGAAGACTAAATAATAGGCAGAAATGCACAAACTAAAATATATTTTATGTACAGTCCAGAGTGGACTGATACTTTAAAAAGATGTTTGCTTTTACCCTACACTGATTTCTAACTTTACACTTAAACATATTTCTCAGTGTGCTATTGTTTAGGATTACACATATTCTAATGGAAAATACAGCACCTAACTTTGTGAATCTTTTAATTGAACACAAGAAATATTCTAGAACTTGATTACAGTTTAAAAAAAACACTATTTTGAAGAGCTCTTGGTCAGTATTCAATACATCTGCCTGCGGACGTTAATCTGTCTTTATCAACATGAGCGAGCTTATTTCATCAAGCCTGTGAAGAGTAATCCATAAAGAAATCCATGAAGAAAAACCATGCAATATCCTATGACTGATTTAGGCATGTTTGCCTTTAAACTCAGCCTTAAAGCTGGAGTCTTTTTGACTTGCCATTTGTTTGAATATTTACACTCTAATGCCCTTAAAACCATAACAGTCCTAGAGCCGTGCACCCTGTGATGAAAAATGTTTCTTATCATGTATTCCCACACACCACAGAATACAAGTGTAATAATGGTTGGTGGTTCTTTTGTGCAGTCCAACCTCATTTGGTCTCTATTGGAAAAAGGCCTTAAAGAAAGTAAAATGAATTGAGGATTTTCGGGCCAAGTGAGCTATTAATCCCTTGAATGGCTCTCATTACTGGTACTGATGTTCAACTCCCTGGGTGGGGAAAAACCAACAGAGAAGCTTTGAAAAGAGACCCACAAAGATACAGTTCTCTCTGTGACCTTCTCAATGACTCTTTTGAGAGATCAGCCCATGAGGCACTGAAGAAAAAAAATAGCTTGCTCCTTTAAATGCTGTAGCAGAAGGGTTTTGTTTGTATTAACTCAACCTCAACATATTTGTTTATTTATTGCACATTTATAAGACACAGTGACAATTTAATCTCCACTTCAAGATTGTTTCTGATTACCAAGAATTGTGCATAAACAACTTGCAGAATATAAATGAACTACCAAACCACTTGTGACTGTTTTCTGGTTTAAACAGTAATGTTCACAGATATTTAAATATAATATGTCTTGATGCCAGTCAGGTTTTACAGATAGAATTAAAAATACTCCTTGGAAAGTGTGGAAAGAAAAGAGAATGATGTATATATTTTTTGTACACAGTAAAGTAAAGTCATTTTTTAATGTTAGATTGCTGTGGGAAAGTATGCTTACAGGCAAAGCAAAGCAAAACAGAATGACATAGTTGAAAAGAAGATTAGAACTTCAAAGAAAATTCAGCAGGATAAATTGCTACACAGGTTAATGTATTAGGAAAACTGAAAGGCAAATAATACCATCTTCACACATTTAATTGAATCTTAGTACTACTAACTCACAAGAAAAGCTGTCGCCAACTGTTTCCACTACAACTGATTGAAGTTGATTTGCTCTAGCGTTTTGCATTGGATTTCAATTGCAATCCCTGTATTTAAATTTACAGGAAGCTAAATTGTTTACTCCACAGTAGAGTATGTTGAATAAAGTACCACATGTAAACAATGAGAGAAGAAATGAATCTAAACATGTGCTGTTGTCCAGTTGAGACTGTTATAAAAACTGTTTGCCTCTCCCACCATTGGGAACTGCAATGGACATACTGTATGTTCATAGTTTATGTGTTGTTCTGTAAAAAGAATATTATAATGTGATCCAAGGGAAGAATTATTTCAGGCTTCTTTAAGTTAGCTTCTTTAGATCCTCATGAGCTGCCTACAGTATGTAATAACTTCTAGACAATGATATTGATTGTAGTAGATTAGTTCATATCTTATTTAATAATAAGGCAGAAATTCAAGATTCACTTTTCAAGAATTACAAAATAGTACAGCAAACAGACTTTGTGAAACAATTATGTACTAAAAGCTTGAGTGATAAGAGGCCCTAAAAATATTTAAAATATGAACAGCTGCAGTCACGCTAATTTTCAGTATTTGGGCAATGAGCTTCATTGACTTTGTGCTGTATGTGAGACAGTTGCATGGAGTGTGGTCTTTGTTTTGTATTTTATTCAGTATGCAGACTACTACATTCAGGATAAACTATTTTCCATATGGACTATAGTCATGCAGACATCTCTAAAGTAATATTTCAACACCTAATATCTGAACAGGTGAATCTCAATGTCACTGTATATCAGCT